GTTCTGGGGCTGTCTCCCCCAAACATGCTTTCATATTCCCATTGTAATCTGCTCTCTTCTTGCCTCAGCCCCTTCCCTGTCCCCTCTCCAGCCCCACCCATCTCCCCCTGCTGATTGGTTCAAATGCTGCTCTTTGCCCTGCATTTGCAAACTGTTTTATCTTCGGAGACTGAAATTGGGATGAGCTGGGAAGTCACTCTTAAGCTGCCATGTCAAATTAGAACCTGAAGTTGCCCAAGGTGCTTCACCCATGCATTAGCTCTGGCTCCTGGGAAAGTAAGATGTTCTACAATTTAAACAATTGTTGTCCCTGGGCCGAAGTACCACATTCAAGCCTAGTATGTGTAATTCTGGAATACAACAAGCAGCGCCCAAACTCCCACCCCACCCCACCCCCGGCCTTCTTTAAGACAGGGGCTCCTATACAGGCTGCGATGGCCTGCAGCTCAGAGACCAAACTACCTCTGCCTCCAAGTGCTGGGATTAAAGGCATAAGCCACCATGCTTTCTGCCTCTTTGATTTTTTTAAAATAGGTGGAGTCTAAGTAAATTCATATTTGAACCCTAAATATATATATATCTGGGATTAAAAGAAGATTCTCTAGGCTTTTCAAAAAAAAAAAAAAAAAAGCCCAGCTTGAATCTGCTTGTAACAGCTTCAGCCATTGATTGCTCCATATCGTCTCAAATACTTGGAATTTAAGGCCGGCATGTGACTCCATGAATATTCTTCATAACCGTGCTGTAAGATTTTAGAACAGTGATCTTAGAAACTATTGAGACTGTACCCTCACTTCCCTGGAACTTCTGCTTAATTATTTTTAAAGATCCTTTTTTTGGTGCATCTGTGCAACCAACTTCTAGTTCCTTTCTGCAGGTACCTCCGGCCTTTCCGGCTTCTGAGACAGCAGCCGTCAGCGCCAGGGTTCCATTGCTTTTTCTGTACTCAGAAATAATGCCAAGGCAGTTATCTGTAATATTAGGGAGCCTTTGTGAAATTACTGCTATTATGTCCGTCAAGTATGGCTCCAAAAGGGCAATTTCCTGCAGTTCATGCTAATATCAGGTTTCAGTGACATTTATCGGAGCACTTAGCAGGAAAAACCCAACCCAGAGAAGATGGTCAGTGTCCTTGTGTTTTCAGATCCCGACTCTATAGCTACCCATAAATTCAGAAAAGGAAACAGGTCCTTGGGCTGAGGATATAACTAAGTTGTTAGAATACTCACCTAATATACACAAAGAGCCTGGGTGCGATCCATAGTATCACAGAAACTAGGCATGCTGGGTACATGCCCTTAACCCCAGCACTTATGAGGTGGAAACAGAAGGACCAGAAGTTCAAGATTGTCCTCTGCTACCTACTGAGTTCAAGGCTAGCTGGAGTTACAGAAAATCAGATCTTTTTTTTTTTTTTTTTAAAGTTCAGTGTTCATCAGAAATGTCATAGGCTTTGTTTCCTGTGATAGGACTATCCAGGCACATATGTGTATATGTATGTGTTCTTAACTCATTCCTTCCAAGAACCAAGTCCAGTTGCAGTGATAGCATGAGAGAATGCTTGGAAACGTGTATCCCAACCATTACAAGTCTCCTATGGTCTAGAGTGGCTGCCATCTTGGGTCCCACGTTAGCGAAGACAGATACAAGTGTAACAGCCACACTTGCAAAGATTCAGTTCTTTCCATATTCCCTCCTCCCTCTTGCCACCCCCACACAAGGCTGTTGAGAAACTCACATTTCTCCATACCCTTCCTTTCCAGGCACCAGTACTATATGAAGAAAGGTGCAGGGCTGCGGCTCTCGAACTGTGGGCCACATAAAATACATCCTCCATGTCAGACACTTTCATGACAGTCCATAACAGTAGCAAAGTACAGTTATGAGGCAGCAGTGGGCCATGTCTGTGGTTGGCGCTCGCCACAACATGAGGAACTGTAGTAAAAGGTCATGGCGTTAGGGCCTAGGGGACCCTGTGGTTCCTAGGACCTGGGGGCCACACACCGGTCATTGCTCACTGGTGAGCTCTGGCACTGCCAACGCCCATTACCCAAGCCCTGTGACCTGCGCACATGCAAGCTGTGAATTCTGACGCTTGGTCAGAGGGTACTGATAGTGTGTCAAGCAGGGGGACCCCATGGGTATCATTTATCTCCCTCTGAGGGTCACCCCACTGCGCTCACTGCTCCCCCTGCCCCTTGGATACCTAGTATAGTTTCCACGGTGAGCTGTGGCCTAACAGGTGAACATCCGAGGCTGCAGAGAGCAAATGGCCATACTGCTTTGGGGAAGAAAACGGCGAGACCAGAGCCACATTTTTAAAATGATTTTATTTTTATTAATTACAGTTTATGAGCTCCACATTATTAAATGCATTGTGTGTGGCCGGTATGGTTTGGTCACGGAGGTTCCCAATGAAGTTAGCTTTCTTAGCCAGCTCATGCTACAGGTGCTCAGTTGTCACATGCAACCAGTGACCACTCTGTGGTACATACAGGTGGAGAAAGTCCAGCCTGGGGGTGGAGTTCTGATGGATGACACGGGACCATCCTGAACATAGTTACCCAAGGCACAGCTGAAGGGTCTTCCTTATATAGTACTCACTCGGCTTGGCCCTGGCCATGGCACAGTGAATATTCCATTAGACGGTATACTGACACAGAAAGCCAGGATGGAAATGCTGATACTAGCAAGTCACATGAATTGGTATAGGTGGATCCCTATGGGGAGGCAAGGTGGAACCTAACCTAACCTCTGTCTCTTATGGGCCCAAGTGTCCCTGGGGCCTTGGACAACTTCCTGGATCCATGAATCTCTGGTTCTCTACACAGGGTTTGTGGCTCAACCCATGGGAGGGATTCTGTATGAAGTGCATGTTTTTGTTATAGCTTCATTTCCCTGTGGAAACCCCGGGAAGGGCTCTGAGGAGAGACATGGCCAGACATGGTTCTGTCAGTTGTGCTGTACATACTTAACTGCCTGGAGTGAGGACTAGTAAGTCTGAGTGACAGCCAAAGGCAGTTTGATGGGAATCACGTGGCCCCATGAGACAGCTGGAGCACTCAGAAAATGCCTCTATACCTGTCAGATATCGTGCAAATGGAGCATGGAGTGAAACTCCTCATCCAGGCCCCGTGAACACAGGCTGGCTTTGGTAGTCGTCATTCCCCTAGGTCTTGCCCACAGAAGATGATCTCTCCCTTTCTATCACGCCAGCCTTCAAGTCTTTACCAGGTTCGCATGTTGCACCCCAATTAGTGCCACGGTGTGCCGGCCTCCAGCTTTGGTTGCTCAATCTTTTGAGAATCCCTGTGGGTAGGTTGTATAACAGGCAGATCAGTGGGGTGACATTTCTCTGGGATTGGCTAGTTCCCAGGAAGTCAGTGGCCTCTGTGGGCCCTGCTTTCTCTATCTCTCTACCATGTTGGGTCTTCCCAGCAGCAGGCTCAAAGTCAGCAGAGCATCCTTGGAAAACCACATGTATAATCCTAGACAGCCCAGCCCTCAAGGAAAGTGGCCTCCATCAGAGAGCACGTCGGAGAAGGACCTAGATACATGTTAAAGCGGTTCCCTTGTTTAGAACATTCTCGAGGCTCTCACTGGATGAACTGTACCTCCTTGGTACAGGTCTGGGTCTTGCTCCGAACCCGGGAGGCAGGTACGATGTTGGGAGTTATGTATGCAGTGTCTTCAGGAAGTGTTGGCTTATGGAGGGGAGGAGGAGGTGCCCATAAACTGAACGTTCTGAGACTTGTTTGCTTTTGTCCTACGTGACTTTGATATCATTTTGAGCTTTGTGAACCATGTCCTGTCAAGAAAAACGGCTTCAAAAATCTAGTGCTCCTGGGTGTGCTGATTTTGACGACTGTTCGGAAGCAGACTGCATCCTCGGCTGGCCCATAGCTCAGAGCAGTGCCCAGCTCTGCCGGACATGCCAGCTCTTCCTGGGTTGAAAGTGGCACACCTTCCTTCCTCTCCCCACTCATCACTCCCAGCCCTTTCTCTCTCTTTTTCTAGATGACCTTTGACCCTCCCATATCACTTTCTCTTGCTGAGGTTCTGAGTCTCTACCCAGGTCTAAAATGGTCTTCACTAGCAAGCATCGTGTACCAGAGGCAGGAGCTGGAAGGCAGGATCCAAACACGGCTGCAGTACAGAACCTGGGGTGTCACAGAAAGGCCTGGAGGCCCCGTTCCATCCCACACTCACTAATACAGGGTGCCTGGACATAGGAGCCAGGCTGTAGCAGGTGGTCAGAATGGCACTGGGTGACTCGCCCTTTGATTGACACAGTGAGCAGCGCTGCCCGAATCGCAGGCTGCCCATATGCGTCTCCAGGGTGCATCCACGAGTTAGGAAGAGCATTAAATACAAAACCGTTCTCCGCAACCTACCATCTTGGTGGCCTTGACAAGCCTCAACTTCCTCCCCTGTGAAATGGGTCAGTGGTAATATTTGCCCACAGCACTATTTTAAAGAACCCAAGCCCTGCTGGTGAAAGGCTTTAGAAATTGTTAGAAATTGTGGCGAGCCGCTGGAACGCTCATTGTTGGTGAGAGACACACTGCCGAGGTGGCTGGCCCACTACCGTGGCATTGATCCTTTCATTACCAGCAAGCACCTGGCAGCTGCCAAAGATACTGATTTGTCCTACCTGATGAAGAGTGACGAGGAGAGGTGATCTGAGAAACCTCAAAAAGAAGCCGGCACTAGCTCCCACGAGACCCACTGTCCCCAGCACTCAGGAAAGGACCCTGGCTGTGTCTGAAGACACAGAGGCCATGCTGGGGATATGGGTAACCAAGGGCTTCCAAACCCTGCCTTACGGTTCTGTTTGTTTGGCTTCGACAAGCTCCTGAGGAGAGGCGAATGATCACACACACACACACACACACACACCATGTCATTTCATCCGTGTGACTGTGCCTTGTGTCTCACGCAGTAAGTGTCATTCTTTGGGAAACACACAAGAGCATTTTCTCTTGGCTTCCCCTTCCCAGGGACCTGAAGTTGGATGGAGGGAGACAGTCAGCTGGGGCCATGAGCCTGAAGGAGATCATTGGCCTCGAAGGAGTGGAGCTGGGTGCTGACGGGAAGGTAAGGAAGGAGTGGAGCTGGGTGCTGACGGGAAGGTAAGGTCTCCAGTGTCCGAGACTCTACAGATAGTGCTCGGCCCAGCGTGCGAAGGCAGCGAGCCAGACTTACTCACGAGGCCAGGATAAGGTTGGCGCAGATTCTCGGTGCATTGTGCCATCGCACCAGTGTGCAGACAGACAGAAGCCACTGAGCCAATAACAATAGGAACATGGCAGGAGCCCCCGAAGTATGTGCGTTTCTCTGCCTACGGCTGTTTGTGTGATACTCACACACTCCAGGATGGTTTGTGTATCTGTGAACTGGACCTTCCAGTACTGGGTATAAGTAGTCTCCATAAAACCTCCAAAAGCCTGTAGGGAAACTGTCCCAAACTAGCATGCCTAGAGGGGAGTTCCCCTGGCCTCCCAGGGCGTCGGTCACGATTCCTAGTTCAGGCTGTGTGGGGAGCGCACCAGGTGCTTCCCGGGGCAGGTGAAGAGAAGTACGCTCGCACCCTGCCTTTGGAATATAAGCTGCCGAGCGTCATGTACCTCATGCGTGACTCCACGTTCTAGCACGTTCTGAGGCAGTGCCTTGTTGCCTGGCACGTGGGCATTTTGCCACCTACCAGGAATAGTTAAACCAAATGGGATCAGTTAAACCTTGCACAGCCTAGAGTCTGTTCAGGTGAGGGTTGGCTGTAGAAGCAGCACAAATCTGGCACAAGTGAAGACCAAACAAGTTGCATTCTTCAAATCCCATTACATTCAAGAACTGGGTGTTTTTTAAAGAAAGCAAACCTGATCTTAGAGTAGCGACAAGGCACGTCCAGAATGCAAACCGAGCCTCCCCTGGGCATAATCACCGCTCTGTTTTTCTTCCTCCCCTTCAGACGGTGTCTTACACGCAGTTTCTTCTACCCACAAATGCCTTTGGAACCCGGAGAAACACCATAGACTCCACCTCTTCCTTCTCCCAGTTCCGGAGCCTGAGCCACCGCAGCCTCTCCATGGGCCGGGCTGGCAGCACCCAGGGGAGCCTTGATGCAGGTAATGGTGGCTCAGAGGGCCCTGTGGCCCGTGGGAGGGGCTGCCTCAGCCTCCAGTGCAGATGGGGTCTCCGGTTGTGTCAGTTAGAGGACAGGGTCTTCAGGTGAGGTTGGGTGGGGGAACATGATCTCAGGCCACTTAGGTGCTCGCTCGCTCTCTCTCTCTCTCTCTCTCTCTCACACACACACACACACACACACACACACACACACACACACACTCTAAATTCCAAGTGAAGTTAATGCTCCCTAACTCAGCCCATCCCTGTCCTAATGCCCCCACCATCTGCCAAAGCTGCCCTGTGTCTGTGTTCACTGGTGGCTACCATGGTTGGAATGTGGTTCACACACAGTGGGCCATCTGGCATTTACCCAGGTCGTGGCCCTGAGTGATACAATTCGGTTTAGCGATTTTCTCTGCAAGCTTAGAGAACAGGCCACTGTAGGCCTGTGTTAGTGACCTACACGAGTTCCAACAGGTTCTGTGTTCTTCCAAGTCAGGGAAACAAAACCATAATTTGCTAACACAGAAAAAAGTCAGAATGGTCAGAACCTGCCAATCTTCTTGTAAGTGTGTGGACACACCTCACTGCCATGCAGAGATGACCCCTGAAAGTCAGACTTTGAGGTGATTCTGAGGTAATGGTTGTGACGCCACCTTCGCCTTAATAACTGTCCTAGCATCTTCCCAGCAGCCTCAGCCTCAAGAGTCCAGGGCCCCTAATTATCATTTTGCTTTGATGTTCAGGAAGCGACCTGGGAGACTTTATGGACTATGACCCAAATCTCCTGGATGACCCCCAGTGGCCTTGTGGCAAGCATAAGCGAGTTCTGACCTTCCCTTCATACATGGTAAGTAGTGGCCGAGGCTGGCTCGATGGCTGGTTTGTTAGTGCCCAAAGCCTCCCGAAATGGCCCCGGGTAACTCAGTGGATAGCTGGCACATTTCACTGAGTTCTCTAGTGAGGGTTACAGGATTCTGGCTAGCTGTCCTGGGAATGCCACTGTTAGAGAGGCCAAGAAGGCAGGTCCAGGGGACATGAAGACTACCCGCTCAGTTTTAGATCCCCTCACTTCTGAGTGTGCACCTCACGAGGCTCCACTAGGGAAGGACCTGACCTTTCCCTGGGAGCACCAAGTTCAAGTTTAGCTGTGTGTGGATCACCTCAGTGACTGTTGTGTGCACTCCAAACCAACAGCTGGCACCGCAGAGCTGCCACGGGAAAGAAAAAGTAGAACAGAGGTGTTGCATGCGAGCGCTTTCCCTGCTGAGTGTTTCACGGCTCTTCCTGGCTTCCCCCTCTGGAATTGGGATTATGCCTCCTGCCTGTTCACCTTCCCTATTGTGAGAGGCTTTGACAGAGGCTTCCTCGGGGATCTGTCCTAACTGCTGGGGAGCAGGAAAGCCTGCTGTGCTGACCTGTCACACACCATCCAGCAGAGAGAATGTCTGCCCACGTGCTCAGCCCCTCTATGCCTTCTGTATCACGTGGGACCGCAGGGCGAGGCTGCCATGCACCTCCTCCGGGTCACCCCACCTCTGTCTCAGAGGCCCCACCCTCAGCACTGAGCCACCAGGCAGAGCAACTCCAGGTACTCAACGGGTACCAAATCTGCACTTGGAGCCGAGACACACAGGAGCACTGGGGCCTTTGCCGATTCCTTTCAGCACCCGTGGTCCAGAGTCCTGCTGAGGCACATTACCCATGAGATAGGTGACTTTCCCATTTAATTTCAAATGACCCTTGCCCTCACTTCCTATACTTATCCTTCGAACCATGGTTGCATATACGGATTGTTGTGTTTGGATTTTTTTTTTTTTTGGTGGGGGTGGGGTCAGTTCACCACATTCCATGACCTGTCCACCCTGCAGGAAACAAAATCAAGAGTCATTCATCTTCCCCAGACTCCAGCACTTAAATTGCCCAGTAAGCGGCAAAAGCCCTTGTGTTAAGGAGCTGCTGAGAAGCCGCCATTCACATGAGAACGTGTAGTTTTGGGGTGGGTCCTGCTTCATCTATGAATGTCCACGCTGTTAACTAACTTGGGCAGGAAACTGTGGCTCCGAATCCCAGTGAGACCTTTGGCTGTCGACAGGAAGTGGGGTACCAGGAGGTGGGGTGCCGAGCCCCCAGCTCACTGACTTTGGCCGGCCGTTCCTAAATAGCCTGTACCTATGCAGTGGGACCTGAGCAGGGTGTGAGGACCAGGCTTTGAGCAGAAGGTTAACGGGAACTAGAGGTCTGAGACCGTATGAAAGTGTGCTGCTTGTGGCTGACGGTGGGTCCGGCAGGGATCCTCCTATGGAGATGCTGAGTCTGGTGACGACACTGACCTCCCTTTGACAAGCCTGGCAGGTGTCAGATCCCGTTTGTCCCCAGAGATTATCTCTTCGTGAGCTGCGAAGTTCTGGGCCTCCTCCCCTGTGTTCTCAAGTGGGCCATTTTCTCAGGTGCTCACACTGGGCTGTGCAGGCTTTACAGGCTGCATTGCTCCTTCGCTGCATTTCCTAGTTCAGGCCAGAAGCGTCTCTCCTTGCATTCTGGCCCGAGGCATTGGTACTTTTGATGAAAGACAGGACACCCATTCCTTTGTGTTCTCACTTAAATTATTGACCGTACGTGTGACAAACAGCTTCAGGCCAGCCTCTCCAGCTCAAAGGAGCCTATGGGTTACAGGGGATTTGCAGTGGCCGTGTAGGAACTGGAGTGCGGGGCTCCTTATTTTCGCCTGACTTTTGTATGATGGAGAGCAAATCTAGAATTGGCTCATTCAGCAAATTTAGTAGCTACCCTACTGCGCGCTGGGCTGGCTGCTGGGTAGAGATGTCATCCTGGAGTCGACAAGGCAGGTCGGAGAGGCGGGCTCCCATGTGAGAAGGCAAGGGTGTGTGCAGGAAGTGGGGTGAGACCATAGAGCGGCGACCCTGCATCTGTAATAGGCTGGTGACTCCCGAGAGGGCCAGTAAGAGTTGGAGTTACTGAGCTGGAGTGACTGGCAGGCTGCTGAGGGGCCCTCCGCAGGAGCCTGAGGCACAGGAGGAGGAATGGAAAGCTCCCTCACTCTGCAGCCACCATCAGGGAATGTCAGCTCTGTGGGGCTGGGCTCTGCTGCCAGCTGGCCCCAGCACTTCCTGTGACCACTTGGCCTGTAGATCCTGTAGCCTCAGCTTTGTCTCGTCAGGCCACAGTTCTGGCTGAAGCACCTTGGTGGAGAACCCAAGCCTGAGACCCTGGGCCTTTTGTCCAGCCTGGTGTTTGGGGGCGTGCCATGGAATTTCAAGCTCCATTACAGCCATTTTAAGCATGCAGCCTCATGGTTCTGTCACCATCCTTTGACATCAACGTGGATCTGGTCCCTTTCTCTAGCTCCCCATCACTAAGGCCACCGCTGCTCTGACCTCCGGACCTGCACTTAGCTGTTTACCTACCCTGGAGGCTTGTGTAAATGATATTATAGGCTAGAGACTTTCTTTGATCCACATTTCACAGAACTTGGCGGTACTGAGATTCAGCCACAGGCTTGTATTTGATTGCTGAACAGTGTTGGATAAACACAATTTATCTATTCTCCAGTTGTCTCTGCTGTGAGGCTATCATGAAAACTGCTGCTGTCAGCATTCCTGCACGTGGCTTTGTGTGACCAGATGTTTCCTTTTCTTCTTGGATGAGTACCTAGGGGCTGGTCATTTAGTATTACCCATCCAGGCTGTGCGCTCTCGATGCCGTTGTTCTTAGTGAAATCTCAAAGAGCCATGGCCAGCATCCACTGGAGGGGTCTACAGGCGAGGTGCCTCTGTTTAAGGTGGCCTTGCACTCTTGCTACATCTGTATTTTTTAATTGTTGACCCAGCAGGTCATTCCCACCCTCATCCATCATGAAAAGGCCAAGGCTAGCTGTTGAACTTGAAAGCTCTGGGCCAGGTATGGAGGCCAGGATGTAACCGCACCTGTGGCTCAGCCTGCAGGTGTCTAGGAGGCCACAGACCTTGGAAGCGCGTCATAGAAAGTGGCCACAGACCCTGGGAGAAAGCACATCAAGCTGCCTGGCTGCGTGCAGGGTCTTGGAGGATATTAGCTAACGCACAGCCACAGAGGACAGGTTTCCTGTGCTCTGCACTGCCTGGTGTATAATTAAGTTTCATAGCGGTTCTTTATCATTAGCACCTGGCAGCTCGAATTGGTAGTGGTTTTCATTGTTACCTTGTTTTTCCCCCCTCCCTGTATGGGTGTGGGAGGCAATTACGAAGAGAATGTGAGAAAGAACAGTCAACAAAATTAACCCTCTGTGCCTGTGTGAATGGGTCTGTGGGTCCTTTTTCTTTTTTCTCATACTGCTCTGTCGTGAGAAAGAAAACCGACAGACATTCTTGATGTCTATAGAGACCCACATCTCAACAACACCTGTTGGATGGGCCTCTGGTAGTTGTCTTCTTCCACCTAGTAGCCGATTCCAAGTCCTCTGGCAAGCCCACACAGCACCCTGTCACCCCTAAATTGTAGAAATGTATCTTAGAATTCAGTTTTCCAGGACGCTCTCAAATGCTGAACAATGGGAAGAAGAGAGCTCAGGAGAAAGGTTCATTCGACCTGCCCTGCATGGTGGCTGGACCCTGCCCCTGCCTGTAGATACAGCTTCATTATCATTGCTCGTTTTCATCAGGAATTTATTGGTGGCTTAGGGCTCACCTGATGGACGACTGTCCAAGGTGTGAAGCATCTGCTGTCCATCAGATGTCGACAGTGTCCCCAAGGCACGGTGACCCGTAGCATGCCAGCCCCACGTGTCAGTGATAACGGCACACTGCTTCTTCCTTCAAGGTGCCTGTGTTTGGAATCCACGGGGTAGAAACAGCACCAAAGGCAGACCCTGGGTTGCTCAGGCCTTCGGCCCATCCCCATGGTTTCCTTACTATTCGCTGTTGTCCTCAGAAAGAGGATTAAGTGCTTGGAACAGCTGAAATGCCCATCTGCTGCTGGTTAGACAGAGTCAGTCTCCAGCCACCCCCTGCTTAATTACCTGACTGTTCACAACATCTGCTCCCCGCTGTCCTGCTGGACTAAAGAGCGCTCCTGGCCGAGGGCAGGTGCAGTAGAAGCAGAACTGAGCTCACGGGGCTAGAAGACATTAGCAGAGCGGGCAGCCTGCCTCCCCTTGTCGGGAGCTGCTGAGAGGATGCTCAGAAGTGGCCAGAACTCCACCAGCAACCTGCTCGCTCTAAGCACCCAGAGCTTCTCCAGGATCATTATTGAGGCGAGTGGCTCCCTCCCTTTGCCGCTTCGTGCCCAGGGGCCTGCTCTTCGCAGCATCACAAGCGGGTGCTGTAAGCTGAAAGCCAAGGTCAGCCCCTTGGAGGCCTGTCCTTCACAAGTCAAGGTAGAATAATTATAAAGAGCTCTGTGGCCCAGTGTCTACAACACACACTGGGCACTTAGGCCTAAATAACCAAGTTGTAGGTGTTCATCTTTTCAGGGTCCTTTTTAGTGCTCACTCTCTCCCCTCCCTTCTTCTCTCCCTCTCTCTCCTTCTCTCTTCCCCCTTCCCTCCCCTTTCCCTCTTCACTTCCTCCTGGCAGGCAGGCATGGCCAGGCTTCTTTGTGAATCACGTCACTGTGGACATTGTCTTTTGGGTGGGCTCCTTCAGCTGGCCCTCCTGTCTTCCCCTCTGCACAGCCGAGTACACACAGCTCCCTGTAGCCAGAAAGCCGAAAACAAGTGCACCCAGTGGCCTTACTTTGGGTGCATGATCAGAAATGCAAGTGCTGAGGCCCAGAGCTGTCCATCGATCCTGCAGCTCAGCCCTGTGGCCTGGCTGTAATGCAGAGTCTGCAGCCCCGGAAGAAGCCACACCCTGTTCAGTGAGCACCTTGATCTATAGTAACGTACCCAGCAAACCCAGCACCGCGAGTCTATAGCTGGTGCAGTTAGACCGGCAGGTGTGCTTTCGGTGTCCACATTGGGTTTCATTTCTTCTCCTCCTGTCAGAAGGGGTGGTTGGCAGGGCTGTGAGCCCTGTGCCTGCTGCTGTGCCTCCCAATGCTCTCTGGCTATCTGCCCTCAGTGCGAGAACAGTGGTCTCTCAGGTGGCGGGGGGGGGGCAGCCCCAAGGGTTGTCATACAGTCCCTCGAGAGAAGGTGGCGTCAAGTTGTCAGGGCTCACGGTAGCTCGGAAGACAGTGAAGGCTTCATCTGTCTGACACCTGCTGGGGTAGAGGGTGGCCCTTCTGCATCCTGGAGGGTTCAGAGGCAGATGGCCATTCCAGGGGCTGCCCAGGCAGCTGAGTGAGCAGAAGCCAAGAGCAGCCCTCCAGGCCTCCCTCGGGCATCAACACAAACCAGGCGTCTGGTAGAGATGCCAGAGGAGGGAGCTGAGGCCCAAGGATTTGAAAGTGTGCACCAGGCTACCCAGATGCTGTGTGGCAGAGCCGGGTGTAAAACCAGAGCTCTGGCTGAGACTGCCTGAGAAGCAGGGGCAACAGAAAGACCAGAAACAGAGCCTCCACAAGAGGGGAAGGAGGTGCCTGTGAAGCCCCCTCGGGCAAGGGTAAGGCTGACTCTGGGGAGGCTGGATTGGCACTGGGGCAGGGAGAGCCGAGCACTCTGCCTGGGGAACAGACAGGGTCAGAGTTTAGCAAGGCCACAAAGGAGCGGCACTACTGTGGCCAGGGCTATGTCCCCCAGAGAGACACTGTGACCTCCTGTGACCTTAGCTTATGTGTCTGATCTACAACAGGCGGGTGCTCTACAGATGCATATGAGGTAAGGCGAGGTTTGTGGGAAACAAGGTTGGGTCCTAATCTAATGTGATTGTGTCTGTAGAAGGAGACAAGAGACGGCAGAGGTCGGAGTGAAGCGTCTGTCAGGCTTGAGAGGGGCAGGGAAGGTTGTAGAGGCAGCGTAACAAAGCACTCTGTTACCATGAGCCCAGCCTGCTGATTTTCAGTCTTAGGCTTCCGGCTTGCCGTGGTCAGAGCTACCCAGACTGTAGGAGCATGTTACAGCAGGCCAGGAAACCAAAGCAGCCACTTCCTGTCCTCAGCCAGCCTCACACAGAATGGCTTACCACCATCTTCCCGTCATGTCCTCAAGACTTTTCACTACCTCCAAATCCAGCCTGTCTACCTCAGGATAGACTGGGGCAGACAAGCCTCACTGTGGGCTGTTGCAACCTGCAGCTGTCCAGGTTCACTGACACCTTCAGAGCCCCTAAAACAGTCATCCGCTAGGATACAGGCCACTGGGCCCACCTGGCCTGTGGCCATCTCACACTTCCTGTGAGTAGTTCCTTCCTCGGTGCTCCCTCTGCCACTCGCCCTGGAGCACTTGGCCTGGAGCACTACCTACCACTTGGCAGTCAGATACTAAGGCTGTGAAGAGAGGCTGCCAATCAAATGAGAGGTAGCATCTACGGCCTTTCTGAAGCTGGATTTCTGGTTTGAATAGTGGCTATTACTGGGCTTTGACAGAAAGGTGGTATTTGCAGAGGATCCCACACATACCTCAAAATGTATTATCTAACATAGGCAAGACCCCCGGTGGGCAGCTTGGTGCCAGCAGAACTCGAGGCTAAGGCAGGAAAATTGTAGGTTTAGGGCCAGGCTGGGCTGCATAGTGAGACTCAGGGGACAAGTGAAGTCCAAATGCCAGGCTGGGGCCAAGTTTTCTGTTCAGTGCTGGGAACAGTCACAAGGACACGGGCCTACAGCTAGAAACAAGCACACAGTAGGTCGGGAGTGGTACAGAGTGTCACTTGTGCCTGCAGGAGGCATCCCTGTGACCTTGAGAGCTTTGTCATCCAGGTAGTTGGAACGTCTACCAAGGACTGTGCTGAGGGTCTCACATCACCTCACATCACGCCCAGCTTCCACTCACCTTGCTACCAGAACAGGGTGCCCAAGTTCCTCACCCCAAGAGCACGGGTCATGTGTGTCAGTGACAGCTCACCACAAAGCTCGGCACCCTGTCCAGCTGGGGTTATGGTTCTGCTGCTAAAGCACTTGCCTTGCAAGCCTGAAGACCTGAATGCGATCCCTGGGACTCAGGTGAAAAAGGCTGGGTGTGGTAACTCACTTGTAATTCCAGCTCTGAGGAGGTGGGAGACACTGGATGTCTCCCCGAAGTTCCCTGGTTGGTTAGCCAGGCCAGTGAAGGACCCTGTCCCAAAGAGGTGGATCGAGTTCCTAAGGACTACACTTGAAGTTGTCCTCTGTTCTTCATGTGCTTGTACACACACCACACACACACACCTTCAAAGAGTGTGCATACATGTGTGTGTGTGTGGTTACATGGGATCTAACCAGAGAATAATTAAGAACACCCAACAGAATAAGAATGCTCTCCAAGCCATCTAGGGAGCCTTACCTGTGGGATCAGGATGCTAGCTTCTGATCAGCCACCAGGGCTAGCCCCCACTTCCAACAGGTAGCTACCATACTGCTCTTGCAAAGGTCTACACCTACAGAACAAACATCCAAAGCTAGTGAGCTAGAGCTTCTCAACCGCTCTTGGTAGCAGAAATAACAGAAGCACCACCTTTTCTCCAGGGTTACTCTCTTTGTACACAGCATCCAATAAGGAGAACAAAAAAAAAGTATTTCTCACCCTAGCTGCAAGAGAGTCAGGCATTGTAACTGCTGGTCTCCTGGCCTTTATTATAGAGTAAAGCTTCCCAGAAGGAAAGAGTGTTTATGGAAGGTTAGTCACAGGAAAAGCCACTTGAGCATCAGGGAACTTAGCTGGATGAGCCCCAAGACACAGCATCAGAGAGTAAATTGGAAGTGAATATTAGTTGGCACGGATAATTTGATGTGCAAGTATCTGGGCTTCTAGACCAGAGGCTGAGTGGCTTTGGCTTTGTTGCTTCGACTTGCTCGCTGGCTCTGCCCATATCTACACCTCTTTGTGACAGCCTCCTGAATAGGGAGCTACTCGCAGCTTTTCCTAGGCTGATTAGGGGAGAACGGCCTGAAAGACGGTGTGTAAGCACAGCCGAGAGCACCAAAGCGAGAGGCCTGGATCTCACTGCTGGCCTCCCTGTAGCTTGGTAGTTGTCTCCACCACCCTCAGTTTCCTCACCTGTAAGTTGAGGTTTGTGTGGGAAGTGTTGGGCGTACTTTGCTATAGCCCACATCTGGTCAGCTGCCATGGTTCCTGCAGGGAAGGACCTGCGTCTCCCATCGCCCCAAATGTTTGGACAGACCTGTTGGAAAAATCAAATGCTCAGTTGAATTGTATGTCCTGGCTTGGAGTTACTCATCTGATTTCTCATCTCCCCAAATGTCACAAAGTTGTGAACCTGGTTTAACAGAATCGGGCTAATATTGCTACAGTTAGTGTTAATACTCCAGAGAAAGAAAATGCTATTAAGATCCCTTTGAACGGGGCTCTATGTGGCTTTCAGCTGCCACCCGGCACCGTTCATGTGCCTATTCTAAACCCGTAAGCTGGGGTGCAGCGCAGTGGTACAGTACTTGCCAGGCACACCCAGGGCTCTGGGTTTGCTTCTTAGCACCACCAAATCTAAAGATCCATTAAGAATAACCCCAAGCCAAGGGTCCAGAGAAGCCTGCCAACGCTAGCTAGGGTTACTAGGGAAATGTTGCCTGGGTTCTGTTGGTCATCCCTGGGGCTGGTTGACCTCACATCCCAAGGGATAAGAGCGGCTTCCTATGGAAGCCAGTCACCTGCCGAAGGGGACTTCGGTTGTCATCCGGAAGAGCGCCCTCAGCAGGTGCCCTTCTGAGATAAGCTGAGACTAAATGCTGTGACCGAGCAAAATACTGATTCAGTGTTAACTGCTCAGAGTGCCGGGAAAGGAAAGCTAAAACATCCCCAAAGGACTCAAAGGAAGCAGTCTTCAGGGACAGGCAGAGTTTAAACAAGGGACTGTTACTAACAGTCACTGTTAAATGCCTGTGATGGAATGTCATTCTGCCTCTGAAGGAAATGCATGTACAAGCTACCATGCAGCTGAACCTGGGAGCATTAACACTGAACAAAAGCTGTAATGGAGAAGCAAGCACAGAATTCTACTCCGTGAGACCAAAGTTAGCTGGGGCTGGTGAAAGGGCTGAGTAGGTGAGGACGCCTACCACCGAGCCTGACAAGCAGGGCTTGCTTTCCTGAACGCGTGTGGTAGGAGAGAATCATCTCCCACGAGATACCTTCTGACAACCTCCCCCATAATTGCAACATGGCAAAGCAATCATGTACATGTGTGCACAGACATGAATACATGTTTTAGAAGGTATCTTGACGTGGTACTAACATATGTAATCCCAGTATGAGGAATACTGAGTTCAAGGCCAGTCTGAATACCTAGAGCCTTGTTTCAAAAATAAACAAACTATTTAAACAGCAGCTAGAATTTGTTGCACCCCTATAATATGCAGGGAACTATACAGAGCACCTCTCACGGTTCTCAAAATAGCCATGAAAGGTAGGATCTGGGATGTTGGGGTCTCCCAAAGGCAGGCCACTGAGTAGCTGGGGGTGGATTTGAACCCAGAACTCCAGATCTAAATCCCACACCTTCGAATCCTGCCCAGTACGGACAACATGCTGAGACGCTCGGCCTGAAGGTCCACTGGCCACTTCCGATGATTGTCTTTTGTCTCCTGCTGCATGGGCCTAGCTTGTACATGGCTGCAGTGATGTTTCTTCCTGCCTCTGTTCCAGACCACGGTGATAGACTACGTGAAGCCCTCGGACCTCAAGAAGGACATGAACGAAACCTTCAAGGAGAAGTTTCCGCACATTAAGCTAACTCTCAGCAAAATCAGGAGGTAGGGAGGCACACACCGCCCTGGCCTTTCCTCCAGGCCTCTCCAGCACACACTGAGCTCATGCCTGGTGTCACAGTTCTTCTTGTTCCCTGGGAAAGGAACACAGTCACGCTCACTAGACATTCTTCCACTGCTGCCTGACTTGTGCCTGGATGTCGTGGCAGAGCCCCAGGCCTCAGGCTAAGCTGACCCCGCAGCTGACACAGCTCTTGTGGAGATGCTTTCAGTGAGAAAAATCATTTCATGCCGTCTGCCTGCAGCTTGCCGGCTCAGTAAAACTGAGGTTATAAAAAACTGAGAGGACGGGTCTGGGCGTGAGCTCAGTTGGTAGAGTGCTTGCCTTTCATGCCAAGCCCTGGGTTCAAACTCCCTCACTATACAACCCAGGGGTGGTTACATGGTCCTGTGGTCCCAGCGCTTGGGAGACAGAGGCAGAAATTTGAGGTCAGCCTAGGATACATGAGTCATGTCTTAAAAAAAAAAAAAAAAAAAAAAGTCAAACCAGAATGAGAAGCATTCAAGTGCCAGCTTTCTGGGATGCAGGCAAAACAAAAGTGCATGGAACTGGTACCTTCAGGCACAGGCTGACTCCACCTACCCAGACATGACTTCAAGGACCCAAACAGCCAAAACAGAGAGACAGGCCCAGATTTCCCAGATAGACGATTGGCTGGATGTGTGGTGACCACGTCTGCCAGCCACTCACCCTGCCAAGCTGGAGATGACTTGTTTTGTTGTGGTTTTGTTTTGTTTTGCGGTGCCCCCAGCGTCGCCGGCGTGTGGTAACTGCTGCTGAGATGCGGGGTGTGTGCAGGGTTCACCCTGCTGTGTACGCTAACACAGGTTTCATTCTGGCGTGTTCCAAACCGAAGAAGAGTTAAGTATCCGTGCCGAGTCTGTTTAAGGCATCTTTTGAAAGGACATCTTTTGAAAGTGGCCTTGCTTCAGCCAGATCTGACTTAACAAGGGTAATCAATAATTTGCAGAGCTTAGACCGAGTACCGGATAGAGTTCTAAAATAAGCAGGGATCCCTTTTTCTTTTTTTCCACTGTGAGGAGCCCCGCCCCTCTTTTCTTGGGGACTCAGACATGAACTGTGTTCTGTGGCAGCCTTCTATGTCCTATTCTTTGGAGCCCTGCCTGCCCGTCACCCCTGGAGTGGTGACGTGGGCCATGCTGTGTCTTTGTCAGTAGACCCACAGAGAGGCCAGAGCCCCATCGACGGGCTCTGCTCCCACATCTACTATAGATTAATCCCGGCCCGAACCCCTGTGGGAATGAAACAGAGAAGATGCTTTCCAGATGGTGTCATTGTCTTCTTTCGGGTCCCCTAAGCTCGCTCAGGACTCTCTGCTTCCTGTCTTTCCCTAGTCTGAAGAGAGAGATGCGGAAGCTTGCTCAGGAGGACTGTGGCTTCGAGGAGCCCACGGTGGCCATGGCTTTTGTCTACTTCGAGAAGCTCGCCCTCAGGGGGAAGCTGAACAAGCAGAACCGGAAGCTCTGTGCGGGAGCGTGTGTGCTGCTAGCAGCCAAGGTCGGAAGTGACCTCAAAAAGCATGAAGTCAAGCATCTAATCGATGTAAGTGGGCTGTGCCTGGATGGCTGTGGGGAGGGGCGGGCGCTCCGTCCAAGGGTCCCCTGGCAGGCAGATGGACCTTGACAGCTAATAGAGATAAAGGCTGTAAAAGTATTTGTAGAAGAAATGGATGACCTAACCGGACAAGACTAAAGAGCCAGCGTTGGGTCATGAACTAGAGGTCTTTCCCAGGGAGCATTAGGGATGAAGTTATTCTCATAGCCAGAGAAGCCATGGTAACCACAAAGCTTGTCAGCAGCGGGACCTCAGAACACCCACCAGAAATGTGGGCTTCAGTGGGGTTGTGTCAGCTTTCTTCTAAAGGCAAGCCCCACCAAAGCAAGGAAACCCTGATGGCCTAGGCTGATTTATGAATACCTGTTTTAACTTACAGTATATAGGCAGGCCTTGTGGCATAGACCCATAAACTCGGCTGCTTTGGAGGCGAAGGCAGAAGGACTGAAGTTCAAAGCCAGCCAAGGCATCCCAAACTAAGAGAGTCGGGGAAGGCTGTGGCGCAGTGGTACAGTGAAACCCCAGTACACAAATGTATACATGTGCGTGAAATGTAGTATATAACTAAAAAAAAGACAACAGGCCAGGAGCCAACTGCTATTGAAAAACGTGTTATTACCCACAGTTCCCAAGAGGACATGCCGTGCACAATATGGTGGCTGATTTCTCATAGCTGTAAGAGCTGGCCAGTTCAAGGTCACCGGCTTTTCACCCTGGCTTACATGTGCCCTTTTCTGACTCTGGTCTCCTTTGAGCTCTCCAGGACACCCATCTCAGCCGCATATGATTACGCCCAGGGGCCTTACTCCTAACTGTACTACCCCAGGGCCACGCGTGCATACACTCAGAATCCCGAGGGGGGGAAGGAGAGGGAAGGATTTGAGAAAGGGGTGCACACCAGGCAGGTGCCGGCTCAGGAATGGCCAGGTTGAAGAATGCCAGTCAGTGCTGGGCTGCCCCACCAGTGGACAGTGGCCTCCTTAGAGTGAGAGATGGAGGTGGTGTGAGAGGCAGAATTCTTCATCATTAGCTTGTGTCTTAAAAGCATTCTCATAGCTGAGGAGTGGGCTAGCTCCAGGAGAGGCAGCGACAGCAAAGAGTACAGAACAGACGTCCGTACGATGTCCCGGGCCTGTATGCCTGACTGCCCCATTGTGTCTAGTGATGAACGAGACTAAAGTAGGTGTTGAGCACATTTTTAAAGAAAGAACATTATTTATGCCCGTGCTTTACTAATTTTCAGAAATGGTCTAGTGTGTGCTGTAGCTACGTGAGCATGGAAGCGATCATGGGGTGCCAGATCCACACTAAGAATCAATAGGGTTATAGGGTTGTGCCTATTTACCAGGCTTCTCCTGGTCTGTTGCCCAGTACCCACAGCCCCAAATACCGCACAGAAAAGTCCCCAGATAAGCAATCTGTACATTTTAGGTTGTGTACCATCTAAGAACTGTGGTGAAAACTAACCCTGCCCCAGTGGTCCCTGTGTTCTTGGGAGTCACCTTGCTACCAGCACCTATCAGTCACCTCACCGGCTACTGGCTGGCCCAGCACCACAGTTCTGCTGTCCGATTCATTCCTGCACCACGATTCTGCACCAGCTCACAAAGCTGTGGGGCTAGGCAGCTTTCATTGCAGTGTTAGTTGTTGTTGATCTGGTTTTCTTTGTTTGTTGTTGTTGAGACAGTGTTTCTCCATCCTTGGCGTCCTAGACTGGCTTTGTAGGCTAGGCTGGCCTCTAACTCACAGAGATCTGCTTGCCTCTGCCTCCTGAGTGCTGGGATTACAGGCATGTGCCACCACGCCCGGCTTAGTTGTCACTGATTTTATTGTGCACAATTTATAAGTCAAACTTTACTCTAATTATACTCTCATTACATATCTAAAGGATATGATACTATGGTTTCAGGGATCTATGTGAGGGTCCCCAGATAAAGTGGGAAATACCTATCTATCTGTCTATCTCTCTCTCTCTCTCTGTCTCTCTCTCAATGCTGAGCTAAAGCATCCTCAGTAGTAGTACTGATGCACATTTGATCAGACTTCAGTACTGAGCCACACAGCAGACGCTGACAGTATCAACACAGAACACAACAGTTAACACGGCTGCGGTCTGAGAGCAGCCACTACCCTGAGATCCCTCCCCCTTAACCTCAGTGCTGTCAGTCACCACTCTGCTCGCCTGGTGCTTCATCAGCCAGAAGCTGAGCGTAAGCAGAGACACCGAGTGCTCCAGCAAATGGGGGACTTTTGTCTCCCCACTGTTCCTCTTTTGTTTCTGATCCCAGAAACCTGTATTGTTGGGTGGACAGGTGAGGAGCCATTGGCCACTCAGCTGTTTAGATGTGGGACAGCCTCATGGGGGACTTAAGTGAGAGGACACGAGTGAGAGGAAAAGGCTGAATCACAAATCCTCACCTTGTGCCATCAGATTGCTGTACAGTGATGCTTGCTGGCCAGTGTGATCTGACCTCCAAGCCTGACTCATTTATAATGGGAGCAATCAGCATCCCAGCTAGAGCTGGGCGATGGTGGCGCACATCTGTAATCCCAGCACTCAGTAGGCAGAGGCAGGCAGATCTCTGTGAGTTAGAGGCCAGCCTGGTCTACAGAACGAGTTTTAGGACTTTGGACTCTGCCCAGCTTTGGACATCCTGGCCTTCAGAACCTCTACTTTTTTAAAGTCACCCAGGCTCCAGTATTCTGTTACAGCGACGGAGAGCAGATGCATCAGTGATAAATGCATCAGTGATAAACACCCACAAGCTTAATAGAAAAGTTACACTTGGGGGGAAAAAAACCCACCAGAAACTTAAGTTTTTAAATGCAAAACTAAAATGGTTCTGTTGAATTTGCAGAAACTGGAAGAGAAGTTCCGACTGAACAGGCGGGAACTGATTGCCTTTGAATTCCCAGTGTTAGTGGCCTTGGAATTTGCACTTCACCTGCCAGAGCACGAAATCATGCCCCACTATAGACGGTTGATCCAGAGCTCCTAGCACAGGCCCCAAGAGGGCCAAGGACTGCGTCCTCTTGAGTGTGGTGGAGCCACCCTTTCTCCCGGAGACAGAGAGCCGAGAGCCGAGCAGGCTTACCTACCCAGAACTTGCTGGGGAGCCTGGGGCTGGTGGAGAGGAGGCGTGTGCTGGGGTGACTGGGCCCAACAGTTCCCCACGGAGACCGGCTGGGCCCGGCTTTTCCTCCCGGGCCTGCGCAGAGCATGAAGCAGGCCTCAGGGCCTTCACTGCGGACCGAGGGGACAAGTGTTTGGGATTCGGGGAAGCCACTTCAAGTTCCCTCTCCCTGTGTCAAGAGCGTGCCAATCTATTTTTATATCTGCCATCGGAAGTGCACTTTCCCTGGGGCACAGGAGCGAGGGTGTGCAAGTGTCTGAGGGACACAGTTACACTTGACCCCAACGCCAATCTGGAGAGCAGACTCGGAATGACTTCTGGGTACCAATGACTCAGGTGCAGCTCGCCAGCTCTGCTTTCTGGGAACTTACCTGCTACTCGCTGGCCAGCGGTGGCGATTCTCGGTGTGGGGAGAGTCTCTGCAGCGTGCTGTGCCCTGAACTTCTGCCGGCACACTTCTGTTGACCCCTCCAGCTCTTGCCTGTGGAGACGGGAAGGCTGAACTCCATAGCGTATGTCCCCGTGCTCTATGTTAGAGTGCATAGCAGGCGCGTTTACTGTGCTAAATACATATACACGTGTTTTTTTATGAAAGTCTGGTGGGGGTGAGGTGCATGATTGGTGTCTTGTGGCATTTGCAGCCGGGACAAGCTACTACATTTCGAGCTGTGGGTGAACTGATAGTACAAAATTGTGACCTGTCCTGACACTCTCCCCAACCTCCTGTCCTGAAGCATTAACCATGCTGTCGCCCGGTAGTTAGGCAGGTGTAACCTTACTGAAGAACGCTTGCTGTCATGGAAAAAAATTAAAATATTTTGTTGTTTTATATATACACAATGTGTGTGTGACCATGGAAGACTCGGTCTCCTCTACAGCCAGTTTCCCTGCCTCCATCCCACCTCAGAGCCCACGGGTGCTGGGGAGCCCCAGACTGAGAACCCCTGAACGACCTGGACAAAGAAGGGAGGAGGAAGCAAGCGTCCACCGCTTTTAGCTATTTATTTCAGAAGCGTCCCAGTTCCACACAATGGAGTTTTGTTTCTTGAGGCAGGGTCTCACCCTGTAGCCCAGGTAATTCCTTCTGCCTCAGCCTCCCAGTCGCTGGCGCCGCCCTCCTGCATCCTGCAAGGTAGGAAACTCCAGCCGCAGCTGCTGTGCGAACACGGAGACTTCCGGGCTTTTCAGCACTACGTTTAGCTGAATTCAGTCCTAAATACTTTGCTGTCAGACTTCTTGTCCAGGGATCAGTCGGGTGGGATATGATGGCACATGGTCTTTTCAGTTGCTCAAAAGTTCAACCAGCTAATATTTTAGGAACACATACTGTTTACAAAGCAAATTGGGAGACAAAAGGCTTCAACTCTCCGTTTCCTGACCTTCAAAATGCTCAGCTTGCTGATGGGTCTCCGGGCTCTCAGCCCCCCTTTCAGAACCTTCAGAAGCGAGGACCACCCTGATGAGCAAGGCTCCTGAAGGTAGGAATGGCTCAAACAGTTCCCGGGTGCCACGCTGGGGTTTGGAGGACCAGAGTCTTCCTGCGTGTTAAAACCAGATCGATAGTCCTGGATTTGGATGATTTGGGTTTGAGTGACATCACCAGTCTTTTCCCTTTTAACTTAAGCACTGTGGGCGAGTGTGTGGAAGGGGTGCCTTCACGAGAGTGAGGACACTGACAAGAGGTCTCCTAGCTCACGTTCCCAACTCCAGCTTGCTGGGGGCAACGGAAGATGAGGAGAGTCAGAGACACACACCACATAGACTCTAGACTCATCCCAGCCTTGGGCTCTGGCTAGGAGTCCAGAAGGAAACATGAACCCGTGCTATGAGTAAGTCACAAAGTCGTGAATGCCAGGTCTAGGAGTCGCTGTGGCTTTGCCCTTTGGCCTTTATCACGAAGGGGAAGATCCAAGGCCCTCTTCTTCCGAGGACTGCCTTGACGTTTCTCTAGGGCAGTCTCTCTAGAAAAGCTCTGCCCAGTTATCTGCTCCTTGGGACAACAGGGCCACCCCCAGTCTGGCGAGCAGGCATGGGCGCCTCTGCTCTAGTTAGTCCTGTGTGATAAGGGACAGCTAAGAACCAAACAGAAAAGACGAACTGGGTCAGTTGCCATGTCTCACTGTACCTGCTCAGGAAGCCCCAGACAGCACAGGGAAAAGTCACTTCCTTTTGCTAAGTCAGGAAATCTGTGTCAGATGAAAATAAAGTTTGTCTTCCTCAGCCTTTTCTTTCTGATCCAAATTTCCCCAACCAGAGATGTTCTGTTGTCATCAGCCAGCAGGTTCCGCTTGGATCATCATCTCACACAAATCGCTCCGTGACACATGACCCATCTTAGTGACTGAGGATGGAGACAGGCTTGCGGTTCCTTCCTCCCGTTCCTCCTTCCTGTTCCCATCATCCCACATCGGCAAACAAGACAGAGCACACACAGCCAATTCCTTATCTCTCTCTGATATTTTCTGTTCGGCACTCAACTGCCAAGTGCTCTGCCCTCCAGGCCCTGGCTCCCTCTGATAACTCAGGAGAACCCTGGCTTTCTGCCCCTTTGGAAGAATCAAATAGGCAGAGGGGAGGGGAGCGCTCAGGTGTTGTGCCTCAGTGATAGAGGGAGTCTCTCCAAGGAGGGGGTTTGCAGGGAGCAACCTAAGAGCAGGGTGGCCTGCAGCCACCTGCCCAGGACAGTGAAGGACAATGCTACCAGGGGGAGATACAGGGGACAGGAGGAGAAAGCAAACACTGGGAGTACAGGCGGGTGTTCACATGCTTGAGGTGAACGCCGGCTTGAACAGAAGGCAGTTTAAAGTACAAGTCTGAGCAGATAGATCACAGCTTCAAGGAAGAAACTTGGCTGGATGAGGGGAGGGTTGGATGGGCGGGTGGTTCAAGAGGACACTGGGACAGATTAGTAGAATTAAAAGGTGTTCTGGAAGAGTTAGTAACATCATTGACGGACAGACAGGGGTGCCAGCAAGGCAGGGTCTCCGATGAGAATCCACTTACGTGGCAGAGAAGGGACGCTCTTCACCCTCCGGATGGGGAGGCTCCACAGCGAGAGCCTGCAAAGGCCCTGATTCCCAGGCAGGAGGCGGTGCCCCTTTGATGTAGCCGCACAGTAACTAGGGGCTTCAGTCGGCAGTGTCGGCGTGAAAGCAAGGAGCCTCTGAAAAGCAGCAGCAGCTAGGTACTAACCCTGCGTCCTCCCGGTCCCACACACAGCCCCTGGGCAGGGGGGCTGCTGTCCCTTCAAGCCTTTATCCCAGACAGGGCCACTCAGACTCAACAGATGTTCCACAGTCTGCAAGCGTTACTGCTGCCCGACAGCAGGCCTCCATAAACGCCGAGTAGAAAGCGACAGAGAACCGGTCAGCTCGAGAAGCGGAGGGAGGGAAAAGAAATGTGGATGGTTTTTGAAATGGCAGATAGCAGTGCCAGCCACTGGCTGGTCAGCTCCGGCATGGCAGCCCTTGACATAGCCTACCACTGTTGGAGGCTCGAGGCCAGGCAGACACATGCTGGGCCAAGCTGCCGAGGTCCACAGCACCCACACACCGAGCCGCCTCACGGCAGATCCATCCCTGTTCTGACTCAAGTGTGAAGTGTCACCCAGAGGCTCAAGTGTTTCAACACTTGGTCTGTAGCTGGCAGCACTGTTTTGGAAAGTTGTGAAACCATCTGGAGCCAGGGCTTCTCTGAACAACAGGGGGTCACTGGGGGAAGGACTTGGTTCTGAAGCTCTAATTTCCTTCCTGGCTGCTCTCTGCGCCTGGACAATGCCCATGACTAGCACCCACTTGTTCTGCCGCCGTATGTCTTCTCTGCCTTACAGATTGTATCCTTTCCAGACCTCAAACCAAACTTCGTCTGTGAAGTTGCTTCTTGTTGGGTATGTGCTCACAACTATAACTCACGTAATCACCTTGGCCAGCACTGGCCATGGCACTGATTGGGCCAGGCCTGTGCCTCAAGCTCTCCAGGACCAGGGGCAGGGAGTTTCCACCGTGAGGAGTTGGCCAGCTGTGACCCCGCTGGCATCATGGGTGAACCAACTGGCAGTTTTTCAGTGTGTCTTACACGGGGTTCTGGAAAGACTATTGGGGGACGGAGCCGTGACAGTGCAAACGCAGCACGGAAGAGGAGCTCCAGGTGAAAGCCAAGGCCAGGCAGCAGAATGGGAAGCCGTGTTCCAGAAGGGCCAGTGAGAAGGTCACCGTCAGCCCCTTCCTGCTTGAGGGTCATCGTGTTGTTCTGGAAGGTCAGATTCGGGCCTAGCAGTTGGGACTCGGCAGATGGGAAGTACTGAGCTTAACTGAGCGGCTGTGCCTGAACACAGATACACTTCTGCTCCGTAGAGAAAAACGGTGAAGCTCTCGCTGGGGGAGCACTTAGGACTCAGTGGGGATGACAGCACTCATTTGGGTTCCGTTCTTTTAGCTTTTGTTTTTGTTTTCCAAGACAAGAGTTTCACCACGTAGTCCTGACTGTCCTGGAGTCACTCTTTGAAGTCACAGAGATCCACCTGCCTCGGCCTACACGGGATTAAAGGCGTGTGCCACCACTGCCTGGCTCCGTTCTTTTCTTGTTCCCATGGCTTGGTTGGCAGGGATGTTGGTCACAGGTTAGGAGACACAGAGGAATCCGAAGCACAATAATCCTGTCAACTCGGTAGAACCTGTACCACTGGTTGATCTGCTGATGTCTCTAATCTAGATTACGCCCCAAGGAGCTGACCTAGGGTGATCATGAGGGCCCTGTGCCATTGAGGCTTCCTCCTTGGAGGACAGGGAAGTTGGCTGACCCTTGGTCCCGCCCAACTGCCTGGACGGCTGTCCTCCGGAAGCCATCTGGTGGTGCCCGTCAGCAAAGCTGCCTGTGGCTTCATCTCTTCCTCTGGTCCTGTGCAGGACCCGGCAGCCCCTACGGACAACCTGTGTGTGGGTCTCCAAGCCACTAACAGATGCTCAGGTCCCCAGATTCCAGGAGACACATCCCTGACTTGTATGATGGGTACAACTCGGTTAGACGAGATCCCTCTAAACTGTCCCCATCCCTTCAGAGCGCCACAGTTTTCCCAGAATACAAGACCCTTCTCCATTTCCCCGCCACCCAGCCAAGGGATCTGAGCCAGCCTGCACACATGAAACCTCCTGACTCTGAAACCCATGAGAAGACTCCCCATCCTGCCCTTTGGGCCTGAACACTCAACAGGGTCCCCGCCATACTGTTTGTCTTCCTATGGGGTTGACATCCAAACTCTCCTCAGAACCCCGGATATGCAGCTGTCTGACTGTAAGTCTATGCCCATGGTATTAGTAACTCTTCTAATAGATCTCTTACCCAAGTGGATAGTCTGCCTCAGTTTTCCCCTTGAGTCCCAAGCCTGAAACCTTTTCATAATGGTGCTAAAAGCCAGGGTTGAGGCATGGACCTTTCTATTCATTAACACCCTGGACAGACAGACGAGAGCCTGACACAGTGGCTGGAGTGCCACCTTCATAGATGTCTAAGTTAGAGCCCAGGGGGAAATGCTGCCAGCCTGTCATTGCTCACCCAGGCAAACCCACACTACACTGGAGGAATGAGCCCCTTGTTACTGGCAAAACCTTGCCACAGCCTGATGAGATCGGAGGTTGGCTGATAGTGAGATTCATGGAAGCACCCTGGAGATAAACAGCTGGACCTCACCCGAGACAGTAGAACAACCGAAGGGCCACGGTCTCTGCCTGAGTGGAGACTGCCCGCATGGCACGTGGTTTGCGGTTTTATAGGGTGGAGAGAGGACTTCGGGGATGAAGTCTCCAGCTGCACGCCAGTTGTGCTGCAGCCTCAAG